CAGAGTCCTCTCCCCCCCCCCCCAACCCCCCCCCCCCCCCAAAAAGAAAAAAAAAGAAAAAAGAAAAAAACACCGATTCTAACCACAGCAGCTACCCCGTCCATCTCCCCTGGTACGGCCTCCTACTCTCCCTCGCCATCGGCGCCATATTCTTCATCCCCAACGGCATCATCATGGCCGTCACCAACCAACACAGCAGCATCTACCTCATTTGCCAACTCATCTGCGGCGTCGTGTTCCCTGGCCGCCCCATTGCAAACATGGTCTTTGTCACTTACGGCTACATATCCTCCGCGCAAGGCATCAAGTTTGCGTCCGACCTCAAACTCGGGCACTACATGAAAATCCCGCCTCGGCTCATGTTCCTCGTCCAAGTTGTCGCCACCCTCGTCTCGTCCGTCACGCAAATCGGTGTGTTGAACTGGATGTTCGCCAACGTCAAGGGCATCTGCACTGCCGACGCCCTCAACGGCTTCACATGCCCCATTGCGCGCGTCCACTTCAACGGCTCCATCCTCTGGGGCGTCGTAGGGCCAGGCGAGTTCTTCGGCCCCGGGGCCACCTACCGCGCCTTGGTCTGGTGTTTCCCGCTCGGCGCCCTCCTCCCCATCCCGCTGTGGCTGTACGCGCGCAACAGGCGCGGCAGCGTCATCCGCAAAGTCAATCTGCCCGTCATATTCGGCGCAATGTCATGGATCCCCCCCGCTACAGGCCTCAACTTCTCCGTCTGGGCCGTAGTCTGCTACGTCTTCAACTACCTGATCAAACGGCGCGCAAACGCCTGGTGGGGCAAGTACACCATGACCCTCAGCGCAGCTCTCGATTCGGGACTGGCCTTTGGCATCGTCGTCGTCTTCTTCGGCTTCTTGTACCCTGGGTGGATGAAGGACTTCAAGTGGTGGGGTACAGAAGTGTACAAGCAAGGGTGCGATTGGCAAGCGTGTAGCTATAGAACGGTTCCAGAGGGCGAAACTTTTGGACCGGATGTATGGTGATGGTCCTGTCACCCGGCATTTGTGGACGATTTCATTACCATGTGTGTATATATGCATATACATCTTTTTTTTTTTTTTTTGGGATGGCATTTTGGGGAGAAGAGAGCCGACTTGGATAGGAGGCAAATTTACTCGACGATATATATCCCGTTTTTGCGCCACTTTTTCTGTCTTTTATCGGATACAGAACATGACGTACCAAACCAGCATTGAATTTTTATACCATCTAGGAAATGCACAGCTCTTCTTCATGACTATCTTCTCGTGTCTTTACAGTAGATTACTATACAGTGGACTGGCTAAAGCCTGAGCCAAGCTGCCAACTCTGTACCCAATGCTCTCCTCCCCATAAAACTCCTGGTGTACCTGGTCCTTTACTGTCCATCCTCCCACTCCGGGTTCTATCAAACAAGTTAGCTGAACCGAACCCCGAGGTTCGAATGCTGGAATGACATCATCGCCTTACCTTTTGTAGGATTACCAGGCCCTCCAAAGTACCGTTCAAGCTAATGTACTCCTCATCCTCAAGCTCCGCTCGCTCTCCATAGCCCAACAGGACGGGTGTACTCTGTGTTTGCCATCCGGTAATGGTCTTGGGACGACCAGCTTGCCCGACAACATCCACGGCTTGACCAACTCGCACATTGACTTTGAGAGGCTTAAGCTGCTCATCTAGGGTGACCAAGAAACGAGGGTGCATAGCAGTGACTAGGAAATAGAGCAGGTAATGGGAGGTGCCCGTGATGAACTCTTTGGGGTCGATCAGGGCAATCATCGTGGCTAGCAGTCCTGCAGTAGAAACCTGAGAGAGGACCTGGCGGTCGGTGTGGAAGGGGTTGATGGATAATGTGCCCTTGCCCATGTGTAGTAAGCCCTGAGCAATTCGGACCATGAAAAGAGCATCCTGGTCGCGGTGATAGTAGCTGGCCAGTTGTCTCAGGAGTTGTGCCAACCGGGCGTTGTTTGTTCCTGCGCCGAGCATCCCCATGGCAAATATTGCGTTGATGGCAACCTCTGGGTCGTTGTCGTGGCTGTATCTTGAGAGTGTGTCGTAAACCTTCATTTGCGGGTTACTTGGGCTGATGAGACCCATGGCCAACGGAACAGCCTTTCGAATGTTCGCCTCGCCATAATGCATGAGGTGACCAAACTGTCTAAGAACCATTTCCTGGCCGATATCCTCACCCATGGCCACCAACGCAATGCCGATGACGGCATATGCTTGCAGCAACTCATCGCCCTTCTTGTCATCCGACTCTTCCTTGTGCTCGTTGCAAATATGCAGCAGCTCCTGGATCTTGAGCACTGCTCCAGTGCCTGCCCAAGCACAAATTTCTGCCAAAACAGCAGTCGCCTTAGCCATGGGGTGCTCCACCGCCTTCAGAGTCTCCAAAATAACGTCAACCTCTTCCTGTCGGCCGAAGAATAGCAATCCCAAACCAAGTGCCAAGAAGCGGGTCCACTTATCTGTCAACTGGTTCTTTCGTTCGTCATCCATCAACGTTGTCACAATAGTTTCTGTAACATCAGGGTGGGAAGAGCCCACAAAGATCAGACCGCATGACAGAGCAGCCATGGCAGAGATTTGCATGTCTTGTGATGAATCGCTGATAATCGGTAACAGAAGCTCGAGCAGATCCTCTTTATTCGAACCAGCGTACGATAACCCCAGGCCCATAATGCAGGCGGTTCGGATTAAGGGGTTCGAGTGATGCAACTTCTCAGCATCTCCAAGCAGAGCCAGCGCAGGCTCCGAGTCAAAACGAACACCTGAGTTCATGATACCAATCGCCAACATAGCTCCAGCTGAAATTTCAGTTTCAGCAGAGTATGTGTACTTGTCGATCTTGTCCAGCCCATTCTCAATATCCCAAAGTAGAAGAGTACCCATAGAAGCCACGGTCGACATCATACCATCGGCCTTGGTCTTCCAAACCCAACTCTCCTTTTCACCTTCAACCAACATCATCTTGTCATTTCCAAAGCCAGCATTGACAAACGCGTTAACAAACGCAGCAGCCAGGTTGTGCCTGGCAGAGTCAAGATTAGTCATACCAGCTACCCGACTGCTTTCAAGGTGGCTCTTGTAAATGTCTTCAGTTGTCTTGGGATCCAAAATATTCAACTCCTTTCCAAGGGACTTGAAGTGCTCTGACAGCTTAAGATTAGAAGCACACTCCAATATCACTTGCTCATCCTCGTTGTTCTCAGGTAGGTCCAATACGATTCTTTGACGCGCGACCAGGAAGGCCAACTGCTTCTTCAAGGTCGGGTTCTCAGCTTTGTCGAAATCAGCCTTGATAAGCTCAACATCATGCAATCGAATAGCAAGGACAATAGCCTGAGTGAACTGCTTGTACTCCATATAGATGTTATGGGCAGTTCGAAGGAAGGTCTCATTGTCGGGGTAGGTGAGTAGATTCACCATGCTAACCATGTACAAGCAGACTCTGGCATAGGTGTTCTCATCGACGAATTTCGGTATCTGCTCAATGATTTCAAGTTCACTCATAAGATCGACAGCATCCGCCTCTGCATTGCTCTTGATGAAAAGCGGGACCAGTATCAGAGCAAGGTCGATCAGGTCCGAGGTAGACTCATCAGCTGTGATTCGTTTTCCATAGACCTCGCCGATCTCCAAAGCCAAATGTCGCACATATTCATGTCCCCAAGAGCTAATATCAGACGTCGGAGCGAGAAGACGATATTTGAGTGTGTCTTGCTTGTCCTCGTCGGAGAAGGTCATACCAATGACAGATAAAACATCAGCCAGCGATGTCTTGTTCTCGCTAGCAAGCCATTCCTCGTACAATTTGGTCAGGGTTTCATAGTGTGGTCGTAAGAATTTGAGGGGCTTTGGTACTGCTGTCATTGATGATGTTGAGGTTTTTATCGAAGTCTTCATCGCCTCTAATGCTGTTTTGTAGAGCTCCTTGTTCGATTCCTTGATTCGAAGCAAGTCAGCAAACGCCGACAAAGTGAGAACAATTGTTTTCTAGCTCCAAGTAACCTACTGTCAATCGCTCCACTATCATGTCAAGCTCGCTTTTGAGCTGTTGATCCTCCTCACTGAGCTCCTCCTCGACGGCTGTACCTAAATCAGCATCTTATGGTTTGTCAGCACCCTAGCCAGCACTTACCATCCTTCTTATCATCTTCCTTCTTGCCGTTTAAAATGGGCTTCTCATCCTTGGACTCGTCCACGGCCTTTCCCTTGCCCTTGTCCGCAGCCTTGGGCGCATCGGTGTCTTGAGCCATGTTGACGTCGATGTGATGGGCGCCCTGTGCGAAGCTCCTACGAGGGAAGGTGGAAGGTACGAAGAAGGCGAAATGTCGGTTACAGGTGAAATTGAGATACCTGGAGTATCAACAAGCGGTGCGGTTCGAAATTTCCAAAGACCGCAAGCTTGCGTTGGTAGTGGTGGAAAGTGATGGACCAGTATGGCAATGAAAGCTCCAACGGCGGATGTCCTACTGTAGCTCCGGTTACGTGAGGCGCTGTCGCCTGGTGGTCGCGAGCACCCAGCCTTGCAATTCAATCACGTGCTGTGGCACCCCTGGAACCGGAAGGGTTAATCCGCAGATAAGGCACAGGTGGCGCGCAGGCGCTATCGATTGGATCTTATCGGCTAAATTTCTCCGTCAAAACGATTGTCACCACAGCGCAAGCGCTTGCGTGTGCTGCGAGAGCCCCACGCCAAGAGACATTCATCATTCTCTGACTGATCTTGATATTGCTGCATTGTACAATATCCCAAAATTTGGTCCTATATCAACCGCCACGATGAAGCTGGACACTAGGGCCATGAGGCATTTGGCCTCAGAAGACTGGAGAGTTCTTACTGCCGTAAGCACAACATGAAAACCTTTCTGTCCCGTTAGTACTAAACTGCGCACAGGTCGAAATGGGCAGCAAAAACCACGAAGTTGTGCCCACTCCGTTGATAGAAAAGATTGCCCGCTTGCGAGGTGGAGCTAGCGGTGTACACAAGAGTATCTCAGCACTCGCCAAAGTTGGTCTTATCGCCAGAGTCAAGGAAGCTAAATACGACGGCTACCGGCTAACCTACGGGGGTCTCGATTATCTCGCCCTGCATACCCACGCCATCCGCAAAGATCTTTATAGTGTCGGAAACAGGATCGGCGTTGGAAAAGAGAGTGATATCATGGTTGTTGCGGACCAGACGGGCACACAGCGTGTTTTGAAAATCCATCGATTAGGAAGAATATCATTCCGAACCGTAAAATCCAACCGCGATTATCTAAAGAATCGTGCTTCTGGCTCGTGGATGTATCTTTCAAGACTAGCAGCCATGAAAGAATATGCCTTCATGAAAGCTTTACATGAAGAAGGGTTTCCAGTTCCAGTTCCCCTGGCCCAGTCTCGACATACGATTGTTATGACACTGGTGGACGCTTTCCCACTGCGACAAATTTCCGATGTTCCGGACCCTGCATCTCTTTATGCGGACTTGATCGCTTTGATTCTTCGCTTTGCCAATCATGGGTTGATCCATGGGGATTTCAACGAGTTCAATATTCTAATTAAGGAGGAGAAGACTGTGTCAGAAAGTGGCGAGGAATCTTTGAAGCTTGAGCCGGTTGTCATTGACTTCCCTCAGATGGTGTCCATGGAGCATCAGAATGCTGAAATGTACTTCGACAGAGATGTTGAATGCATCAAAAGATTCTTCTCAAGAAGGTTCCACTTTACCAGCACAACACCGGGGCCCTTCTTCAAAGACTCGAAGAAGAAACTAGCCAAAGGTGGCTTTACAAGGCTGGATGCAACTGTAGAGGCATCTGGCTTCACAAAGAAAATGTTGAAGGATCTTGAAACTGCAATTAAAGATCAGGTCGCGAAGAGGGGAGAAGATGGAGTTTCAGAGGAGTTTGATGACGACGACGACAACGATGATGATGATGAAGTCGGATCTGAGGACGACGATGACGAAAGTGGAGATGACGAGAAAGACGATGGTGGCATCTTGGGTCCGCAGAGTCATGAGAGAACGCTGAGTGCTGGTGCCAAAGTCGATGACGAATGTCCTGCTGCTGGCGCCCAACTTCCGCTTAATGAGGATCTGTCGAAGTTGACAGTATAGCACCACACGATACCCAAAAGAGAACAAAACGAATTGGACATCTTCCAATGCTTGATCGAAGTGATTTCATACCTGTGATACACTATTATTCATCAATTTCGCCCATTCGGCGTTGATACTCTGTTACAGGCCCCAATCTTCTCTAAGAATCTAAAGTACAGTCTGATCAAATGCGTCCTTGAGGCACTCCTTGGCGCCAGAGAGGCTTGACTATAAGATGCTCATTCACAGAATATGTCTGCTTACAACTCAACTGGCAAATTCGTAAAAGGATGTAACAAAAAAAGTGACAAGCAAGAAAATGTAGCCACATGTCTGGACATGAGATAAACCGAAAACAAGCACAAAAGAGACAACAAAAAAGCTAAAATCGACCAAAAAACATTAATCACTATTTTCATCCCGTCAAGCACCCTTGGTCGATGGCGACTTGTTCTCGTTAGTGCCACCGGCGACGGTAGATGAGTCGGCGTGAATCGTTACACCTTCATCACTGTCCGACATGGCAGCGGCAGCAGCCACATCCGTAATCGTGTTCGGAGCTATCCTGGTTTCAAGGTTAGAATTTAGCAAGGGTTCCACGCGAAAGAGCATACTCGGATAGTCCGCGTCGGGTCCCCGAGTGTCTCATCACATTTCCCTCTTCATTCGATGAAGCAGAAAGCCCACTGCTATCATGTCAGTCAGAGCATGACAGTCAGCAACAAGGGTCTGTTCACCTTCGCGAAACAGGCAATGTTCTGCGCCATTGAGATTGTTGGTTGTACAACGTAGGGCTCATTCCCACAAGAGGAGTGCCATAAGCCCCGATATTATACTCGTTTGTCCGGAATTGGCGGCGCTCGGCAGTGACTCGCTTCAGTTCCTTTTGAGCTGGAGTGTCTGCATATCGAATATTCATGAGGAGACCCTCCTCTCCAATTCCAACCCCATTGTATTTCTTGATAATCTCGTCGCAAATTTCGCGGCTCTCGAACCTATTAACTCAGTCAGACATCAACTGTCCGTTCCGTAGGAATTATATGTTCATACCGAGCAAAGCCAACGCCACGGCTATTGCCCATGCTGTCCCGAAGAATCTTGCTCGAGAGGATGGTGGTTCCGAGGAAAATGGTTCCGAGTTCCTTTGCCAATGTTAATTACTATCCAATACTTGGGTTAAAAGTGTCAACTCACCACTTCAGTCAGCGTCTTCGGAAGGTTTGAAATGTACAGATTGGTAGAGCCTTCGTCGCCTTCTGCCTTAAGGCGAGAGTTGAAGGATTCCTAGGGTACATGTCAGATATGTCGTAAAGTAAACAGATGATCTCGCTACATACCCGGGCAAAGCCAACTTCGTAACCAAGCCGGTGGAATCCACGAATGCACATTTCGGAGTCCTGAGAATCAAAAAACTTGGCAAAGCCAAATCTGTCGTATGTCAGTTCCCACGCCGGGTAATGATGACCTTCCACGACTTACCCTTTGCATGCCCCAGTTCCAGTATCAATAATTGCTTTGGATGTCTCAACCGGTCCGAAGCGAGAGGCAAATTTGTAAAGCAGTTCATCGTCTGTAGTAGGATGTAGTCCGCGAATGTATACATTGCGATTGCCCGGGATACGATTTTCGAGGCTCTGTTCGAGGCTCTTCATCTGGCTGGGAGGTGTAAAAACTGCAGGGACAGCTCGAGGAATAGCAGGTTCCTGTTGAAGAAATTCATCGACAGTCCGGTCCGGCACTACAGCAATAGCGGGTTTGGTTGGGTCGGCATGAAGGACCGGAAGACCAATTTGCTGGGGGGAAGGAGTCGTATAAGCGGATCGGTCAAGGCTGGCAACTCGTGGGCCGTCATCACGCTGCGAAACTGTGCCATAAAAAGGAGTAGCTGGGGTAGATTCGGTCGTGGAGTATGATCCGCGACGATTCTCAAGGCCGGGTACATCTGAATGTCCGCGTTCAACGCGAGGCTGGGCAATAGGAGCTCGTCCAGGAGTGAAAGGGACGAAGGGCATCTGAACGCCAACATAAGGAGACCCGTATCCTGGGATACCCAAATTTTGATATGGATTTTCGGTATGGTGATGGTTCATGCCAATTTGGTGAGCGGACATGTGAGCCAGAACAAATGGTGTATCAGATCCAACCACGTATGGTGCTGGGTTGTGTCCCATTGGCATTGGAGCAGAGCTGCTAGGCATGCTCATCCCTCCCAAAGAGAGTCCGGCAAATTGGTTGATCATTGCGTTTGGATCAGCAGCTGAGTGTGCAGGACCATGGCTGTGGACATTGCGTCCTGTGGGATTGGGGAGGTAAGGCCCGCCAACGCTGTTTCCTGCGTCCATATTCGAGTCGGCGAGGGCTGATTTTCGATAAAACGTGGAGCTGGAGAAGATCATGTTAGCATACAGAGAATTCCAGGGCAGAGAATGACATTATGAGCAGCAGAGCAGCAGATGCTTAGAGACCCGAAGTTGGGCAACCCCCCAGTCAAAATGATACTGGTTCTCTCTTCGGGTGATCAATTTCGATTGCACAGGGAGCACGATGAAAAAGTAGACCGAGGATCCAATCATATCAACAAAGGAGTTTCGCCGTGTTCAAAACCAGAGAAAGGAAGCCTACTTACTCTCAAAGCAAGAGATCAGCTTCGATTGATGGCTGGAAATGCGAACGATCCGAGAGTCAAACGGAAGATCTGTTGCAGAGTCATCAGCAAGTGTATTCCAATATCTCGTGATGGTTTTTTCTTCTTCTGCCGTTTAGTGTGCAGGATGCCAGCCTCGCGGGACTGATGGTGATTGTTGACCGAGGCAAAAGAAACAGACAGCACAAAGCGATTATTGATATTAGTGAGTAGACTCACATCTTCTTTTATCTTTTTGGTTGCGTGATGACGCAAAGCTGGTGAGAGGCTACCAAAGGCAAATGTTGCTACCAAGACTGGGAAATGAAGCAAGAGAGTAAGTAAGATAGAACAAGCTATCGAGCAAAATGGGCGCACCGAATGATATCGACTTGCCGTTGAAGGGACTTGGAAAATCTGGGTTGGAAACGGTGTTGATGCTGTGAAGGAAAGAAAAAGAAGAAGAGAAGGAAGAGAAGAGAACCAGAACAGGGAAAAGGGACAAGACGAAGTTGCAAAAGGCACCAGATGACGAAACGACAGGGAAG